TAGTCAGCTGCAAATATGGCTTGACCCTAAAAAAATTCTAACAAAAGGTTTCTCAGTGGTTTACAGTAGTATCAGATGTAATTAAAAACATACTAAAAGTTTACCAAAGTTTGACTCCAAGAAAGGACCCATTTTCAAAATGGCGGCCATCAGGTCCTTAAAATGACCATTACTCCTTTGTATTCCTCCTAGACCAGGAAGACTGGTGCCTGATACATGTTTTGGCCATGTAATATTCTAATTAGCATATTTGCATGATAGACAAGTGATTACAATTATATATTAAAGCAATTGGTTACAGGCATATTTATGAGAAAAATAAGTACAATTTCCCTTAATTATTTGCATATTTCTCCTTTCTCATATCGTTTTGTGTAGTGTTGGTGGTTTCTGTGGTTCATAACCAGTCTTTTGATTCCAATAAAATATATTCACTAGAACTGTGTGGTACTGTAACATTAGTCAAAACAGGGCTGTCACGTGAAGGCTCAGTACCGCTAACCCCTTTTATTTTTTTGTGTTTTATGTTTTTATATTTATAATAATGTGTTTTGGTTTTTTGTGGGGTTTTTTTTGTTAATACTTTTCTTATTTATACATATCTTTTTATATTTTCTTCAGTTGTTTCCTCTTGTTTTTATCTATTATTCTGGTTTATTTTTTATACTTTTTTGCACTGTGACCTTCACTAGATTTACCATTAGTCGTCACACTCTTCCTCCCATAGAGGTTGATTATAGTGATTCTCACAATTCCTAACTTGACATGGTCCACAAGCAGGCATGCATGGTAGTCCATATGCCCTGCAACTTCACCGTTGTGTTTGGCAGACAGTTGTGCAATTACAGTGGATCATCTGCAGGAGGCTTTCTGGGGCAGCAGTCTTACTGGTCATAACTGTCAGGAACCGGTTGTCCACCAGTTTCCATCCCCAATCCACTGTGTTCATGTCACCTTCCTTTCCAATCCACACCATGATCTGGAAGTAAACTCTTTGGCAGTGATATTTGGTTGAGGACTCAGTTGAAGGCAGACGTTCTGGGGTAACAAATGATTTGGTGGTAACAATTTTCTTGCTAAAAAGGTTGTAGCGCAAAGAGGAAAGTGAATCGGTACTCTTTCTGCCAAACAACACTGCCATTGCCTTGGTCCCATGGTCTTCTATGACATTCCTTGCTTGATGTGGGAGCAGAAACACATTTGCGCAGGACTGGGTGGTTGATTCACCATTCACAAGTTTCTGGAATGCTGTCTGTTTGCCAACACTAAAAATGCGTGAAGTTGTATCACATCCTGTGAAGGCGTGAATAAACAGCAACTGGGAACACAAGTCACTAGCCAGGACTTGTTTCATCTTACTGATGTTATACACTTTAGTAGCTTTGGACTTTATTGTTCGTCCCAGCATAGTAGAGGAGAATAATGAGTAAGTCTGTATCCTCCCCTATCGAGGTTGTGGGCTGATGTTCTGAGACCTTGACTGCAGCTTTGACAGTGTCCACATCTGCATCACCTAAACATCTATAGAGGATGCATTACATATGTATTACCTTATTCAAATTGAAATGAGTGATCATTTTAGAGGGTTCACACACAGGCCTCTGTTCGGGCTAATTCAGAGTTGTTAATGATCAAAATTTTTACAACTCCAATTTAAGTTACTTTTGGGTGCAGTAACTTTTACATTGAAGGTCAGGTCTGTGTTTTAGCAAAAAAAAAAAGGGTATGTGTCCAAAAACATGTACTGAGTAGGAGTTACATGACATAGGCTAAATCATTTACATCTCTGGTTCACCCCAAACAAAGATAAAACCTTACAGTAATCTCACAAAATCATGTATTCCATAAGTATGTAATCTTGTCAGTGCAATTTAGAGTCCAATGGATTCATAGAACCAGAAAACATGGGGTTACACACCAAGATTACTTGGCTACGTCAAATAATGAAGGAGTTCTCCATCTTGAAAATTACACCTTTCTAGTGGTCAAACTTTGGTAAACTTTTAGTATGTTATTAAGGACACCTAATACTACAAAAAACAGCTGAGAAACCTTTTGTTAGAATTTTTTTAGGGGTAGGTGTTTTTTTTTCATATGCAGCCGCCTATTTGTGTTGTATAGATAAAAGCTGCACACTGTACTGGATATCATGCTAAATATTTTTTTAAATACTTAAGTCAATGAGGAAATGGTAATCTCTCCACTATGCCAGACTATATATATATATATATATATATATATATTAGTGTTTTAGCCTCTGTTATCAAATTCATTCAAGAAGGAACATTACAGTTGGAAATTGTAATTATATTAGTGATGGACTGACTTAAAAGTCGCTAAATCAGTCAGTAAGTTGACAACACAGGACACAGAGTTTTTATTTTACTAATTTATGGTCTTACAGTCCAACAGTATATTTATTTGTATATAATTTAATACATGAGCTATGAATATGCAAATTCTGTTGATTTCCAAAGTTTTTCCTGCTGGACACAAGATGTCTCCTACTTCACTGCAAAGTCCATTCTCAGTGTTTGTGCGCTGGCAGCTTCAATTTTCTACATCACACTTGTATAAGTTGCAAATTGGACCAGGGTCGACTTCCAAACTATTTGTGACAAATTGTGCTCATAGGCCTCATCCCTTAGAATCTGATTTTCAGTGAGCGAAGAAAAAACTTTCCACTTTCAGCAGATGAATGTGAAGACATTCCTTGTAGTGTCAAACTCTGCACATACATCATTCTGCACAGTGAAGCTCAAACAGCCAAATGTAGGAACCAGAAGAAAAACATATTTTTGAGTGGAGGGGGACTTCATCAGGACTGGGTGGATGTGGTTTGATCAAATATGTTCGATAGTGTTGGTACAATCCGCACATTTTGATTCATATGCTGCTAAACTGTGATTGGTGCACAGAAATATATCACATATATGTTTTCGAATTGAGTGAAAGTTAGATAGAGAAATACACAAAAATATAAACCTCTCGTGAAATAACTAAAACTGTTCTAACTGTGGCAGAAATGGTTCATGACGCCATAGCAGAGTAAGAAGCTGTCAAAAAAAATAGGTTGCAAGGGCCTGTAAGAATGAGTAAGTAACACAGCTGTTGAGTAGGCTAACAAACAGACAACACAAGCACAGAAATAACATGTAGAAGTGTAAACCTCTCAGGATGATGAAAGGTGAAAAAGAGTTAAAATGCACACTTACACACACACACACACACACACACACACACACTGGTTGCTTCACAAGTTTGACACAGTAGCGGACTCAGCAGGGCAGCTGTTGCTAACCTAATAAACAGACAGCTTGTTAAAAGTTCGGACTGATTCCCCAGCTTGATGCACCATTTAGCCCCAGGTACAAAATGCAAGTGTAAAACCGGGACTAACAACAGCGCCATTGAGGTATGTGCAACACCAGTGAAATATTTAGAAATGTTCTTGCATCAAAGATGGTGTTATTTGCATATCAAATATGCTGCCAGTAAAGTGATTATTGGGGTTATTGGGCTAGGTTGCTGTAGGTGTGTTACTATTGTTGTGTTCACCCTTTGTGCATATGAATGTACTGAATGCTATATGACTATGTATTAGGCCTAGTAGATCAAAATAAGAGGGTACGGAAAACCTCTCCTGCTTTGACAATTAATTTGGAAGCTCTTTCTCTCTCTGTACTCAGCTGTGTTGTTGTTGCTAACCACACAATGGCAACCAGCCCACCCTCTTCCTCTGCCTCCTTTCTTCTCCTAATGGCTTAATGTTTTAAAACCACTCTTCTGAGTCCCTCTTGCCTCTTACTTTTCCCCTCTTCCTGTCTTAGCGTAACACCTCCTCCCTTCCTCACTCCTCATTTTCTCTAATGCTCCTCTGTTTCCACGCAACATCCCTGCAGCCTCTCTCTTCCCCCCCCTCTTTTCACCAATCCCTCTCATTTGCAGGCATCCTCTCTCTTTGCCTCCAGTAAGTAACAAGTGAAAATAAGGGACAAAAACGTGATACTTGTGACTAACAGTTAGTGTTTGCCTCTTTTATTTCCCAGTATCCTCTCCTCCTGCCTCCCACCCAGGAAGAATGGATGGAGGAATGGATTAAAGGAGGGATAGCCTCTGCTTAATTTTTTGTTTGGCTGCACGGCAGACTGGTTTCTCTCAGTAGAGCCTCTTCATCCTTATGACCCCATGGAGACATTCATGTACTGATGATGTGCGCCATAGCACCATACAGATGTGGAATTTTCCAACATACAATAACTGCTGTTGCCACTTGCAACAATATTGGCTGTCATCTTGATTTACATGCACTGTACATACACATAGGTGACAAATTGAAGGATTCACGAATTTAAAGTGTCTTAGCTGGGCCACCGCAAGCCTGCAGATCAGCTTCAATGTCCTTTGGCATTGATCTACACGCATCTTGAGCTGTAGTGGATAATGGAAGACCATTTATCCAAAGTATATTCCCTCCTTTGGTGTTTTGATGATGCTAGAAGAGAGTGTTGCCTAACACATCGCCCTATAATCGCTCAGTTTGGTTGAGATTTGGTAACTGTGATACATACAGACTGATAAATCAGCGGCCATATAAGGGTCGATTTTAGTTTATTGCAGATATCGGTAGGCCATTTGTGTTGACGTCAGCTGATATGTAACAAGAAATTGCAGTATAGAAATGCCAAACTAGGTTTGAGGTCATAGTCAACATCAACATAGTCAAAAGCACTCATATTAAGCATATATAGTTGTCCACCTTGTAGCTACCCTATAGAAGAAACAGTACATTTATGTAGTTTGTCCACTCATTTATCCGAGGTTGTCACCCATGTGCCATAATTTGATTGATGTTTGAAGTCCTCTTTTCAGCTTATGGCTTGCTCTTCAGTATATTTAGAGTCTAGCACAAGTAATTTGCTTATCTGTTGGGGAGATATCCTCCATTTTATTGGAGGGTGCTTGCTGTCCTGCCCTCCCTCCTCTACCGCCAACAAACCGACAACCATGAGATCAACAACCGTCATAAGGCTACAGCCACTGCCAGCCATGTCTTGCCTCTAACACAAAAAATACTGTTTTTAGCATTTTAACGAGCACACCGAGAGCATACTTTGCTGCTCTTTTTTTTAAGCCTACCAGCTAAATTTTTCTAGAGATAAAAAGCGTCATTTTTTTTTTTTTTTTTTTAATAAGAAGGAGAGAAGATGTCTTCCCCCGCGCAGGAGAGGAGCAGGTCTGGCGTTCAGCTGCTGAGCGCGGCGCTGCCGCTGCTGCTGCTCTCGCTCTCCGGTAAGAAACCAAATCGCCAAAAAACCGACTGATGCTTCCATTTATTGATCAGCAGTAATTCGATAGAATAATGGCTCCCGCACACTGCTCCATCTTTAGGCCTTTCCTCTCATATCTGACTGTGTGTGTGTGATTGTCAGAGAGGGAGGAGATAATGGGTGTAATGTGAGATAACTGTTATTCTAGCGGTCCCCCAGTTTTAAAACAGTAAAGCAGGATTGTTGTGGCTTTCCTCGATCGCTTTTAGCTGAAATGATTTCTGATCAGTTTTGATGTTTGTGTAGTGACCCCCACCCCCACCCCACTCCCCCTTACGTCTCTTTTTAGCTTCTGTTGACAGCTGGATTAGTGCCCTGGTGTATCATAGCCCATACACAGGATTATTATGTACTATGCAAAAATAAATATTGGCTTAGCCTGTAAGCAGAATGACAGTGCACAGTAGGTCTCTGTGACTCAGGGTGATCAGTAGGAATATGCCTATAATAAGGTGCTAACAATGTGCTGTTGATGTGTATAAGCCTTGTATTCAGTAGCACATAAACACACATGAACCCACATTATGGTGTCATCAAAGTAATATGTGTGTGAGTATACATAGGCACACAAATGCATGAGAGAGAGAACAGATGTGGACATATCCAGGCTGGTTTACACCAAAACACGGTGTGACCCACATCTGAGCGAACCCACAGCATCGTTACTCCAACTGAGAATGATCAAATAGGCTTAAATATAAAGCCGTGCTCTCCAGGAGATTTAATAAACAAAAGATCAGCGTTGTGGTGAGGTCCATCAGCTTGTATGACACACTCCCTTCCTGCTGCTTACTGTAGATGCTACTGTAAAGGCATTTCTTCACAGTGACAGACTAGACAAAAATGAAACATTCTTCCTAGTTTACTCACTAGTACTGGGAATAGATAAGTGATCACAACACCGCCACTGTACGCCTTCTTAAATAAAGAAATCCATAATAGTGATTTCATCTAATGGCACCTTAAAACCATACTGAAACCTGAGGATTTTGTCCCTTTGTTTTCTCGTCTCATCAAACGTTGCAGTTCAGTGGTTTGGAAATCACATCGAGGGAAGAAGTCACACCAGCGTATTTTTAGATAGTGTCAGCACCCTTTGCTTTTTTCACCTATGCCAACTGAAAATAGATACCCAAAAGTTTACTGTTGCTGGGGGAGCTTGTTGCATGGAGATGCTACAGTTACTCCTTTCTTTCTCTTTCCAACAGGATGTAGCGTATGCAGAAGGGAAAGATAAAAGATTACTGCATTCTTCTTTCATTCTTTATTTGTTAGTTGCTTAATTGTTCAAATTAAAGAAAATTACATAAAATCCCTTTGCGATACCCCACAAATAAACACAAAATCTTGTTACATTCTCAAAAATCTGAACCCATCAGCCCACTGTGACTTGTAAATATATAAATATTATAATTTAGACACATTAAGCGGTTATGGATGTAAGGTGTCTGAATGCTTCATGTGCTGAATAACAGATGTGGTGCCACACCCTGAGCTCACTCATGAAAACAACAGCGTGGTCTCATACAACGTTCGTGTTGGAAAACAAATAACGTCAGTGAAGATAGCTTCTGCAAGCATGTGAGAGAGTCGAAAGTGTTACCCACTGATCGAGCAATATTATGCTCTATTCCTATAACCACACACATTGCTAGCACTTAGTAATGCAGTTATATAGTGATACAGCTACAGTTACATGTGTTGTGTGCTGCCTTTCGGAAAAACACCAACTGTAGTCTAACAAGTTTGTCAGTAGTATTCTTATAGACTGCTGCAGAGTTCTGTAAAGTGCTGCAGTTTCCCAACAATATTCTTTCTGCCCGTCAGTGTTTGAACTTTACTCATCAATGCCACAGTTGCAGTTTGTGCAGAGAGGCACTAGAGGGCAGCAGCACACTGGGAAGAGAAGGCATGTAATGTAAATGCGCTGACATAGTGCAACCCTTATGAGGCATTAGCATCAAATTACCAAAGCGCAGTCAAACTTTTAGTGTAACAGCAATGTATTTTGTTTTCTATGAGAAAAAAAGCTACAAACATTAGACTGGTGATCTGTCAGCAGGGCGATATTTCTGTAAAGGCATGCTGTCACAGAATAGTGTTTTGCATTAAAATGTGCTTTACTGAATATTATTTTTGCATGAAACATCCCAACTTATAAGAATCATTTCTAATAAAATGTCATGATTTTGCAGCATGACATTGCCCACCGGCCTTTGCTAAAGATCTAGCAAATCATTGGTTCTTGTAAAAAGTAGAAAGTTAGAGATAATTTAATGTGACTCATGCATTTATATTACTTGACAATAAACCTTTAATTGACTAATACTTTTATACTTTTCACCAGCAAGGCTGCATCAAACTGACTGTTAATAACAATGTAACCCATGCCACCTTTCTAGGATTCATTATTCTGATGGTCACTAATTGAAAGTGTTGGCCAGCTGCTGAGGTTTCCTTGTTTTTAAGATGTTAAGATGGAGCCACTGTCTCTTCAGATTCCTGTCCAGAAGCGGTCAGCTCAAGTAATTTTTTTTTAACTGAAACTTCAAGCTCAGTCTGTAGGGACTTGGCTTTGTGTACACTTATGTCCATCTGTGTATTTGTGTATTTGTGTATGTGGGTCCTACATGAGTATTTCTGCTGTAGTTTTCCCACCAACCCTGATTGCTTTTTGAAAGTTAAAATGTGCTGTACCTTAAAGAAGCCAGACTTTGTGGCTCTACTATAAGCAGGCAACTGTCAATAATACATAAACAGTGAAAGAGTGGTGGGGAGAGGAGACAAAGAATGGAAAATAGCTTTCAACACTCACTCAGTCCTGTCAATATTGTATATATGTTGTATGTGTGGTTTTTACTAGTGATCATAGAAGAGTTTAATGCATCCCTGTCTGTGCTTTTGTGTTTCTTTGTCTCTAATATTACAGTAACATATCACACAGAGGTGCTGCAGGCTCACACAGTACTGTATAGGTTTCTGAGCTGGCTATCCCAGTCTAGGCATGACATAATCAGAGAAAAGCTTCTGCAGCCCACAGGATTCCTGCATCTCCTCCAGGAATTACTGACGGATGGCATATTTTTGGTGTGAGCTGTATTGACTGCTGACTAGCCCCCTCTTTTGGCACCTCAGCATAGAGTGCTGCAGTGTGCAGAATGCAGTGTGGCTTTCTCCAAAGCAGGGGGCACTAGAACCAAAGCCCAGCAGTATAGAACACAACTGAATCACAGCTAAACATTATCAGACTCATAACAATTTAAAGGCAGCATGCTGGGGTCAATGTATCATCTACACTTTGTAGGCTATTCGGGTTTTGTGAAGTAGAATTGCATGTGAAGCTTCAAAATTAACACAGGATTTACCTTTACACCAATGTCCCTCTGGTGTTGGGAGACATAAACAATGGTAACACTAAAACTTCCCTAAAACTGCTCTGTACTGGAACACAACGTACTCCCATCCTGTGTATGCAGATAGTCATGAAAATAACACATAGTCAATTATAACTTGTCAATAGTAGCCCTTGTCTCACACAATCAAGTGTTCAGATTCCAAGCAGCAACAGAAGTAGATGCTAAGCAAATAACAAAGAATGTCTGTCTCACTGAAGGAAACTTGGAATTCAGTCATTTTTTTTCACCAGCAACCAATCTGGGATCAGATCTGGTGTTCTGGTCGAACTCTGTGACATGCCGCCATCATTAAGCTAATGCTGCCCTGGGGAATTTTACAAGTGCTCCCCACTTAAAGTGCATTGTAGAGGCTTGGTGGTTAACTCCAGCTCTAAGGAGGTGGGGATCAGAAGCCAGACCCCAAAAAAAGGCTCAGGGTCCTCACTGAAGCTGCCGAAAAGCAGCAGCCACTTGCTTTAGCTGAAGACAAAAAGACCCAACCTGGGCAACAATCTGAAGGACGCGACACAGTGTTGCTTAGCCCTCTAATGATAGTTGGCTCCTTAAAAAATAAGCAGGAGGGTCACCATTTGATAACCCTGAAGTGTCAACACACTCCAGACCAGCATTTAGTCCATCAAAGCACTACAATGCCAAAACAAGCGAGTGGTGATACCTTTTAGAGACTGTACAACTCAGTCGTTGAATAAATGATCGTCATGAAAATAGAGCCCAAAGTCAAAATTTTTTTGGTAACATGCTCTAAACACTGAGCTGCAGCCCTTTGTGCCCTTAAAGCAGCTTTAAATCACTTGAAGAAGAGAACTTCAAAGGATGTTGTCTGTGGATTTGTCAAGTTGGTCTTCATTGGATTCCTACTCTGAAAAGCTTTGCCCATGCCATCCCACAGATGCCTAATTGGATTGAGATCTGGAAGCAGGAGAGTTCAGGCTAGTCCAGGCTACTGTAATGATTACTAATTTAATAAAAAATCATTTATTATTACATTTGAAACCCTCCTGGATGATCCAAGGACTGTAGTTTCAGGAACCACCCTCCCTGCTGAAATGACCACAAAGATAACAAATGGCAGTATCTGATGGTCTTGCCTTATTTACCAATCAATGACACAGGCATGGTTCACCAATTCACACTGATTCCCCTTTATTAAATGTAAACTAACTTACAATATACACCTCTACCGTAAATAGGATTGTGTGCGTAGGTACAAAAGGTGGTCACATACTGTAGACTTGGACTACAGAAATGTGAAGGGCACAGGAAAGATGATGTAACAGACTTACCTACCTTTCACCTTTTTTTCCTGCATTGACCTTGTGAGAGGTGGGGAACAATGGAGGCAAGTAGAAGGGAGTAAGAGAGAGACATGCACTGGAAATTAAAACGATGGGGAGAAACAGAAGGACTCATTGTGTTTCGGGGGTAGTGGAGAGGTCGGACAGAAGAGGCGCTAGGAAAGAGGCGTGAGAGGAGGCAAGAGAGGTGGACAAAGATGGGAGAGGAAAGAGGGAGGGGCAGAGAGAGGGAGGAGTCGCATGAGGCTGCTTCACTGCAGTATTTCATCTGTTAGCGAGTGTCTGTCTCTCTCCGTCCTCTGCATCTGCCTCTCTTTCTCACTAGCCGCAGGACTGCTGAGTCAGCAGGAGGCTGTAACAATCTGTTTCTCACACTGCATATCTGTGTATGGGTTGTCGTGGCAATGGAACATAATGTGTGTACGGTTCTTACAGTACATGTGTGCGTGAGTGACGGTGTCTGCCTGAATGTGTCGGTACTAGCTGCGTGCACAGATAAGTCAGCTAGCAAGAGGATGACATTGACATACCACAGCTAGCATGCTAAGCTCACTGCTGACAATGCACACCTTGTAGTAGGGTGTGTATGTGTGTGTGTGTGTTTGTAGTATGGAGAGAGAAAGAGCGAGAAGCACAGGTAATGCGCAGCATCACAAGACACCTGGCTGTGGTGAACTCTGCGCATGGAAAATTGTGTATGTGTGTGTAAATTATACATATGGACGATGAAAGGAGATGTAGAAAGTGTATGGGTGTGTGTGTGTGTGTGTAAGAGAGAGTGTGTGGTGCAGAGAGGCAGGCCTGTGGAGTGGTGCAGCAGCAGTGGGAAGGGAGCCAGAAACACCCGACTGCAGAGGAGAGAATGGTGCAGAGTCCCATCACACACACACACACACATACACACACACACACACACACACACACACACATACTGAGAGAGAGGCACAGATTCTGTCTGGGGAGTGTAAGCCCATGCTGAGACATAATGTTAGAGGGGAGGAGGAACTTGAGGAAACTAAATGATACTTTATTTTCATTTCAGGTTACATTTATCTTGCTTTCATTTTAGAATGGGGCTGCACAATTAATCAAATTTAAAACTGCAATATGGTCAAGTCCTAATCGCAGAAGTTGCATTTTTTTGATAAAGGTAAAATGTGTGATTATAGCATTGTAATGAAGTATAATCCTGTAGTGCTGCAGAGATGCCCTGGCCTACAAATCCCTGTGGATGTCATCTTTTCCAGCAGCAAGAGATGAAATAATACATAAACTTGCAGCAAAGATACTTGCATAGTCGTGGAAACTTGAGTGGAAGCCTGGTTTTTATTCTCTACACAGAGTCACTGCAAAACCATCTATGATAGAGGCTTATGCTGATTTACCAAACATACTGTGAAAGGCCACTTTATGTGCGCTGTCTATGTTTTGAACAGACTACAGCAGAATTGTTAAGTATAAAGCAGGCATATTGCTTGATCTACAGTCAGGTTGCGAGACTTGCCTAAGATTTAAATCTGTTCTGTGAGTTGAGGAATTCACATCAAATGACTGTCAGCCTGAAAGACAGCATTCTCTAAATAGAGTGCAGAAGAAGAGTCAGCAGTTACATGGAAACCCACATCCTCACTATACATACTGGGAAGATGAAACTGCTGATGTGCTGATATTTTTCTCTTTTGCAGTATCTTTGGTTGAACACGGAGCCTTAAAATATCGGCTTACAGGATGTACGCTTCTTAAATGTGTGAGATTATACACAGTTTATACGATTTATGTTCGTAATCACAAACCTGTAGATAATGATAAATGAGGTACTCTAGTGTACAACAAATCAGCTGTGTAGGCTTGATGCTATACATGACTTATAGAGTCTGGAATCAGATTTCTTTTGACTCAAAAAAACTCAACCCTAATGGACCACTGACTTTAAGACATGGGATCTCAGTTGAATTACAATATGCAAGTTGTACTGTTATATATGCTGTACATATTACCAAAAAAAATAAATAATAGCAACTGAAAAATTACATATCCTCCTATACCAGATTTGTACAGTGAATTATTTTCATTATTTGGAGTTAGATTCCTTTTAGATGTCTTAAAAAATTATATTTAATATAATTGTTTATATTTAACACAAACTACTGATCAAAACATTTGTCGATAATTATTTCCACATTTGTTTAAAATCCCGCCAAATATAAATTGAGTCAAATTTCAAACCTTACAGCTCCGATATTGTATTGTTGTTGGTACTAGCATTATTAACACTGGTGTTTTTTTTTTTATTTACAGGTTGTTCAAGCATGGATGTGACCGTGCCCAGTAACCTCAATGCACTGAACGGAACAACTGTCAAAATCACCTGCATATTTACTTCCTGCTATAGGATGGATGAGACAAAGTTTGCCATGAACTGGACCTACCAAGAGTCACTCAACGATACGGAAGAGATGGTAAAAATGGCTAGTCTCCATAGGCTGTCTACATCTGAAAACTCTAAGCCCATTATGAACTCTCTTTATCTCTCTCTCCCCCTCTCTCTATAGTTTATGACATACTCTAGGAAAAAAGGAATGGTGGCTCTGAGTTCAAACCGCTTTGGAGAGAGGGTCAAGTTTGCCGGGAACCTGGTTAAGAACGACCTGTCAATTACCCTATCAGATGTTCAGCTGGAGGATGAGGGGGTTTACAACTGCTATGTGAGAAACCCCCCTGACCGCATCCAGGGACAGGGTGTCATACAGTTCAATGTTGTTACCGAACGTAAGATACTAACCCTACCTTCTGAAAATGAAAAATGTGTCTATAAATCCTCACCCTTGCCTTAGAGATACACTCCCTGATTTTCTTGAAGTTCACTTTAGCATCCTTTAAACCTTTAAATTCACTCCCCTGTTCTCAAACTGACAAGTGCTACTCGGTGCTAAACCAGTGTATTGTTAAGGGAGAGTGCTTCTATAAAAAACATTCTGTGTCAAAATAGCACTCTTGACTGTTTCACTAATCTTATTTATCTCAAACACCATCCATCAGTGTCATTTTTTTTTTAAAATACCGACATTCATCATTCAGTCCTTTCCGTTATTGGTTTACATCGGGCATGTATCCCACTTGCCTCAGATTGAGCAGCCATTTTCTTCTGTCAAGGGAGGGGAAGAACCAGCTACTTTGCAAGCTGGTTGCAGTTGTGGCTCATGAATAATTTTCACAGTGGCACCAAAATAGGGCTAAAAACACCCCATTTGTAGGTTTGAGCAGTTCTCTGTTTGCACTGTTTCAGACAACCACACAGGCATATACAAGGTACAAATGAACGACCTTTATTGCCATATTTTGACAGTAATATATGTTTGAAATAGTGTAACAAGAATCCAGAATCTGATCTTATTACAATAATGACGTTTCTTCTAAATGTGGCATGCTTATGTGTTGTGAAAAGTGGTGTGAATTGCTCGTGTTTTGCAGTCTGCCTCGGCCACTGTGTTCTAAGGATAAATGCCATACAATGGTCATATATAACATGCTGTGACTGCGTGTGCGCGTCTGTTTCCTGGAGCGTGACGGCCTACTGGTGATGAGTCAGCGTTTTACTTATTAATGACCAACAAGGTTGAACTTAGTCCCTCAGCATCTCTCTCACACGCACACATACGTACACGCACACCCACACATAGGACACAGGCTAACTCAGCAGCACTTTCTTGCTTTCCACTCTGTTTAATCAGCCCAGTAGAGCTTTTAGCCAGCATTGCACTTGTCTCCATCCTTTGTCTGCAAACTATTTAACCCTCTCCTCTCCTCAGTTCCCCCTCCGAGGGATTCAACCATCGCAGTCGCGATTGGGGCGTCGGTGGGTGGAGCATTAGCTCTTCTGATCCTTTCCATGGTTGTAGTGAAATGTCTTCGTCGACACCGGAAACAGGAACTGATTTCGGAGGAGAAGATGGAGGAGGAGGGAAAACTGGAGGCTGAAGGTGTAGGAGAGGAGGGAACCAAGTAAGAAATCTCACCGTAACATCTTTGATCCTCAAGCAAAAACTGAACATTCACCAACATAAGAAGAAGCACTTGTTATACTCGAATATGCTGGTTCTTTATAATACACTTTTGTTCTGGCAGATTCCGCCCCCCTTCAGCTGATGTTTGCTGGTATATCCCACTGCTCACTACGATATTCTGTCGCTGTGTCGCTTATAAACGAAGACGAATGGCACTACTGTATTAAAGTTATGCCTACAACACGTCACTGTTGTCTCGCTGACAGATTAAAAGAAAGGCTTAATCTAGCGAGCATTAATTGTTAGATGAGTAGCATTTTGCACATTTAACACAATAGTTACTCACTGTAACTACTCTAAAGTTGGCAATACAAGTAAAACTATGGCTTTGTTTTTTAAAGTATGTCAGAGTTCTACAGGCTATGCTACAGAGCTCATAGCACCACTAAATCTTCTCAATCTTCCAGTGTAATATGGTATAAGCTATGAGTTTTACGCTGCACCTGCTGGTAGAAAGTGTCAGCTGTAAGTAGAACATGAGTGGCATGTCATTTTCATGTGGCAAACAGCAGCAGCATACCAAGTGGTGTCTGTCAATGGAAAAAGTGACATGTCGTTTTTTTAAATGCATAGAAGAGCAGCAAGATACCAACAATCATAAGAAGCATAGCACTAAGCATGGACATATGCCACTGAATATATATATCTATATATATAGTGTCCACTTTCTGTGATCCTCAATTAAACTTCTCTAAGATCTGGAAAACCTAAATTCTACAGCATAGACCAAGAGCCACGGGGCTTAACTTCATATCTTTCTTCAATATGAACTTATTAATAGTACATATCTCAAAATCTAAACACACAAATCTAACCTTATTTGCCAAATCACTATACTCGGATGCAGTGTAATGAAAACATTACACATTAACACAGAGGTTTTTCGCCTTATAGTGCGAGTTTCCTGGTACATACAACAGTTTCTGTCTAACATACTGCACAAGAGAAAAACCACACAGCAGATGTAACTACTTCTTAAGCACGTCTCTCTTGTAATTGGATTACAAACCTCAAACCTTCTCCTTCTATTGACTGAAAGGGCATCTCTTCTCTGATATTTATAGACAACCATAGCCGGGTCATCTGATAGAACCAGCGGCCTGTGGAGCCCTTACACCCAACACTTCCTCTGGTAAATACCTGCTCATGTCAACCAGTCTGGACTGTTTGTGTTGTTGTAAACAATAGAGAAAAATATGAAATACAAGTAAGACCAGCCAAACCGAATTGACAGTACACTTCTTTCTTTGCATGCATTAAGAATTACACTGACGTTGTAATGAACAGAACCAAAACCTGTACTTATTAATCAATAGACTAACTTGGATATCCTCTCTCCATCAAAAGATCCTCGAATATGGAAAAAAATAAGTGTGTATACAGTATGTGTGTGCAAGTGTAGATGTTTCTTAGTGTGTGTTGTGGCCCAGATATCTCTACCTGGCTGGCTTTATCTCAAGAGAGGCTTATTTATAGAAGCATCTACCAAGCATAGTACTAGTTTAAGTTAAATTATTGTCTGTTGTTCTCTCTTTCTCTCTTTTCTTTCAGACATGCGCACCCCCCTTCCTGAAGATCTATAGTAACCACTGCTTGAGTTATCATCCACTGATACTTCCATCCCTTCTGGATCTGTGTGTGCACGCAAGTGTGCTTCTTTGTGTGGGTGTGTGTGTGGGTGGGTGTGTGTGTGTGTGTAGTGAATGTGTCTATGTGTGCGTGAGTATTTCTACGTGTCTGCGTGAGATATGTCTTTTTCCTTGAAATAAGCCAGGGAACCCTTTTCTGCAACTTACCCACTAACCACATATAACATTATTCATAGCTACAAATAAATATGAGTGTCATTAGAAGTCTATTTCATGATAAGAAATGGCATTTTCATAGCACACTATACAACAGGCTAGGGCTGGGCGGTATGACCTAAAATTTATACCACAGTGTAGTTTGAATATCGGACAGTAACAATATCACAGTATGTAATTGTATTGCCTTTAGTTAAATCTATTATTAATTAACTATCAGGGAAGATAACAGCGATTGGGGAGGCAGAGTTTCATACCTGATGGAAGTCTAAAGCTTATTACATTACAAGGTCGTGTATATATCTTTTGTGTCCACTGTCTCCCAACAGTCACAGTCCAACTTTGGGATTTTGTTTTAAGTGAAATGCTTTGGTTTAACATACTGCGAACTCAGCGTTATTTCAGCATTGCCTTAAAGCCACATCTCTCAGCTGCCTGTATGGGCACCATGTCTTAACATAGATGCACAGTTAGTGCAATGTTCTTCCACCGCTGGCTTTTCTTATCATACAGACAAGTAATAGTCAGTAACTCAGCCAAATGATGTCTGTATGTCTCAATTATGTCTACTTGTGCCTGAGCTGGAAAGCATTCTCAAACATTCCTCATACCTGTGGAGGTTTTTATTATCTTTTTAAGCCTTTTTCACAGCAGACATTTTGACTTGTCATAGTAGAAATATCACAGGTGTTGCTGATCACATCAACAATGGCTCTGTTCTATTAAAGCATCCCAGGAAGTCAAGACTGTAGCTGTGTCAGAAATGTATGCCTATTAATTATATAGTGCATTATATTTCACCCTCCGCCATTTTTTATGTAAAATATAAGCACTATAATATGGTTCCCGCACAATAGAACAAAGAAAGCAGTGTCCATTGCCATGTACACTACTTGAATGTCTATTATATGGGCAGAGTATTGCATGAATGAACAAAGAAGCAATTTCAGACAGGCAGAGTGACAATGAGCCAGCACAAACAATACCAGGACCCTGAAACTGAAGCAGCTAAATCGAAGTCAGCCATCATTCATGTTATTATTTACACCGGTGCTTTTTCTACTGTCACATGTCTTCTGTTTTGTTTTCTAGTAATCTCTGTTTCTTTTGATTCTGCATCTGTCTTCTGTCTGGTTTCATTTCTTCATCCACTTTCTGTTGCATGCAAAAGTGTTTTGTGCGTGTGTAAATGGGAAGAGGTATTCTCATGTTTTTATTGGACAATACCTAACAACTGCGCTGGTTAACACGCGATGGGTTGCAGTGATGCTTTCTGAGTCCTTTATGTGACTTTACAGCTAAAATGAATTCTGTACTATTAGAAACAGCATAGCCAAGTCTTTATATTGCTAATGTATGTCATTACTGGTTATACCGTCCACCCCTATGACAGAGACTTCTGCATCCTGGCCTTGAGGAATGACATGTTAGTATGCCTGTATACAGAGGTTCTAATAGTTCAGTAACAATATGCATAGGGTTAAATGAGTCTTAGTATTAGACCACACATACTTACAATATCTGTAACTGTAATACAGTGTACAATTATTTGCACATACTGCATAGGAAAAAATTGTCAGTGACAATGTTGAGCTTTCCTCTCAGAATGAAACTAATACTGTGGGAGAACTATGTGGTTAGAGATAAAGTGAATTATTGTTGACACCAATTTTGTCAAAACTCAAAAACATATCAAAGACAATTTTAAGTGAACAACTCACATTGCACCCACAATCACGTAATTCAGGTTGGTGCCAACCAACACTGCCAGCCACATGACGACACAAATACGCAGCCATATACGTAGTTACTCTTACCATGACCAATATTCCACAAAGATAAGAGTTCCCATTTATAAACAGTAATACAGGAAATAATACCAAATGATCCAAATGAAAATATAAGATGCTTAAATTCATGACTGACAGGGAAGAGCTTACTGACAAACTTTTGGTTTGGTTAGTGTCTAACTATTAATTGACGTTATCCACCAAAACAGGTAGAATTTATTATTTTTGGCAGCTGAAGCATGTACAGTGTACTATACCGCCATGAATGCATATCAAAATGAAAAATGTTATAATAAAGTAAGAAACTTAGTTCTGTTCTGTTAAGTCTCCCAGAGTCAGTCAAAGCATGTTTGAGCTTTCACCTATGTAGCAATCAGGTGGCGCCATTTATCAAATATTATAATACCTGGATTTTATTTTGATCTTATTTTGATAAATGCATATATATTTTGCTTGCATACGTAATTTATAGTGTCAGAGGTATTTGGTTGCACTTTGGTGAGTTTTGTCTGCCTCCTGTAGAATACCGAGAAACAATTAAACTTTCAATATTTCATATGGAAACAAGAACTTCCATACAGACTCTTATAATCTGTTGTTTTTTATTCCAACTCCAACTGGAGCCCTGTTTTATAGAGATTTAAAAAAAAAAATCTTTGAGCGATTGCACTTCAATACAAACACTTTTTAGTGTGTATTTTAAAAACAGATTAATATAGAAAAAAGTTTGAAAAGTTTGAAAACGTACATCCTATCTCTGTGTCTCCAAAGTAATGCCTTTACCTCAACAGTGGTGTTTAAAACTGTAGATACTGTTTTGCACATTAACACATTTATACCAATTCTAATATAATCATAGTGGAGAGCATGCGGATATCACGAAACATAGGGGAACATATAAAGCTCACTTTATTAAGATGGTATATGGGAATGTGTGGCTGGGCACATGGCATGGTGATTGTATGGTTAAATGGGAAATGTATTGGTAGTGACTTGATTTGACAATTTATTTGGTTGCACCCTAAATGTCAAAAAATGTATATCTTAATAGGATACCTGATCACTATTTAATGTCAATTGTACATGTTACAGCATGTGAGATTAGTTAATCTCTGAATGTCCTCTGATGTTTTAACTATGATAACAGGGAAGCAGTGTCACAAAGTGGTGTCTCTGATACCTGTAATGTCTCAAGCTGCTTAGCTGTGTTATCCAGTTATTGGAGTGTGGTTAGTGCTGCCAAATGTGGTGGCCTGGCTAGTCCTGGTTTCTGACATTGTTAAAAAAAAAAAAAATGTACAGGGTCTGTGTTTAGACACATTTACTTATTTAATATTATTTCTGATTTTGTCATTTATGTTTTCTAAAGTCATGGGTGACGTATTCTGTGAACTATTTCTCGAACTATCAAAACCACATCACAGTAATATAATATTCACAATTATGTGTTGCTCTGTGATGATCAATAAAGCAAATATTGTCATTTAATACAATCATGCTGTGAAGAACAACAATAAAATGGTGATTTATCCATAAAATAGTGGACAAAATGCAGAGTTGTCTGGTTGGGAGAGCTCTGGTTCTGTCACATTTCCTGGGACATTGCTGTATGTGTGTGGTCATGCATGTTTAGGTTGCAGGGTTTTTGTGTGTGTTTGACCCATACAGTAAGGTGATGACAGGTTAACATTTGGGGCAAATTTAGTGCCGTTTTTACCAGGAAATTTTTATTGGCAATATTAAGCAACACACCTGCATTACTGTATATTGTATATTCTGTATTTCTCAATCAGAATCAAATAAACAAATAAAATCTTGAATACTGTATAATGTACAAGACAGATTTATCATTGTGCATCACTGTCCCCCCCCCCGGCTATGAGTTTGCCCTGAATAATTGCTCTTGTATCACTTTAAATGTTAGTGAACACCAAACTAATGCTTGCACTGTGCTGTCTCTGAACAAGCAGCTGTCATTACATTATGTATTTTAAATAAAGATGATTTAGGAAAATGTCACAGTTTTGTGTACTTTCTTTTTTATCCATCCATCCATCCATTATCTACCTGCTTATCCTGTTCAAGGTTGCCTGTGACTGGTGCTTATCCTAGCTCAAACTGGCCAAGACACAGAGAACACCACTGCATTACCAATACACATTCTATCACAGGGCTGACACTTATAAACAGAAAACCATTTATAAGTACAGGCAACACATCACCTAACTAGCTTGTCCAAAATCGAAAAACCCTGAGGAAACTGACAAAGACATGGGAAGACATGCAAACACAGAAAGGCCCCAGCAAGAGCCCAGCAGAGGCCTAGCAGACCAGTGAATTCAAACCCTCTTCCAAAGGTGAAGAGTCACATGACTTAGACATGAATCAGACTCGAGTCACAAATTTGATGACTTTAGATTTGACTTGATAAAATCAAAAAGACTTGCAACTTGACTCTGACATTAACACAAGGACACGTGATTTCTCTTGGACTTGAGCCTTTTGACTTGAAAATATTTGATACCAAGCTCAAAGATTCAAAAGAATGTTAAATAATGTGCCTCAAATCAAATTATTTCCTAAAACAACTAAAGTTAATGTTATTCCTTCTCAGCAAGTATATATTCCCTACCACTTTGTTTGAACCAGTCTGACAGCATAGAACTATGGAAAACTCATGTTACGCTACTGAGCGCCAGTTGGAAAAAATTATACTTAAAATAATTAAATTTAGTTTGTCCTGTTGTTAAAAGGGAATTACATTCGGAAAGACTTGGGACTTGTCATTCTTGAGTGCAAAGACGTGAGACATGTTTCTGACTTGCAAAACAGTGACTTCTGTTTCTGCTACTATAGTTTCATCATGTCTTTCACCTTCCGTTGACTTCAATTTCATTAAACAAAATGTCCTCTGATGCATCAGCCCGGACTCTGTTTTTTGACCATGGCAATACTGTAATCTCCAACAGAACACCGTATCACTTACATAGTGTATCAGAGTTTTGAATGCGCCACAGTATGAAAATGCGCTTTATCTCTGACGCTATGACAGCTCTGGTTTTGTATGTATGTGAGCTTTAATTAGTCTCAAACCCAGAGAGCCAAGCTGTACTGTGATCTCACCAGAGAGGACAACTTGGAGCAGTTCCACTGACAATCAACCAGAGGTGACTTTGTGAATGTAGAGTATTTTCAGCTTTTGCACACAAACAGGATTCATTTTGAATCTGAACTATAACCCAAAATTATCCTTAACCGAACCCCTAGTCAGAAAAAGATTAGAGGAAGTTTATTATACACCAAATGTTACAGGGCAGTTTGTATCACTATTTTGCAGTAAACATAAATTGATGTGTCAATCATTTTATCTTTTATTGCGACAATCCTGAGGTAAACTGTAGAAAAATGGTATTCATCTTACAAAGCAAGCACCAGCTGCACGCTTGCACATATTTGACTGGCTCATGCGGCACCATGACAATGCATTGCGGTAACAGTTGAGTCTGGTTCAACTTTTTTCCATATGACCCTGCAATCCTTTTTTTACAGAGCTCTCTGCATCAGCCCAGTTGTCTCATTCAAAGAAGGGGTCTACGTTTTTCTATGTAAAGCTGTTGTTTGAAGACAGCCTAAGAAAGGTTTTACTGATAAACATCCTAGTTTACAGACAATGTGTGTAACATAGTCGCTATAGGCCATTATGCAGACAGTAAATTTGAGGCACAGAGTTAGAAAAGAAAATGCTGCTCGTCTATTTTTCAGCATATTATTTGTATTAGATGAGTAGTTTGAATCATGCACTTTTAAAATACAATACACTATCTAAGCAATACACTCCCCCCATGGATTGCATTGTGTATATCGTATTAAAACTCATATTCTACAATTATTATTATATAGTCTTGAAATTAACAACGAGAAATTACTTAACAACTTAAGAAACGCAAAAAAAGGTAAAGAATTCAATGATGGTCGCTATGAGAGTTTGTCACATTTCATGCAGTTAGATTGGAAGATTATACGAAACTTTGTTGTGGGTGTATGAAGCTAGCGAAACAGAGGAGAGAACCAAACGCAATAGGCATATTTAAATGTTCTAGTTTCAGTTTCACTGCGCGCACAGCCCACAGTACGCAATCTTTTTTTAAAAAAAATTTCCTCACCAAGCCAACATCAAGCAAATCATTGTTTCAAACTACCCTCCTAACGTCCAGTTCCAAACCTTGAGACTACATCTTATGGCTACACAACAACACAAACTATGAGTCTCCAAGCTTTCAACACAAAATCTCCACCAAGAGGCCAGCTGCATGTTCTGCACAGGTTTGATTACATATCAGCACTGAAGTCTGGTACATACAACTCTAACTTCCAAAGCAGATATATGTCAGGCTGTGTGTGTGTGTGTGTGTGTGTGTGTGTGTGTGTGTAAATCGGAATGTACCGCAGACCAGCTCTTAACTTTAAACAGGACAGGACTCACCTTTTTGATGGTCCCTGTTCCCCACTGACAGACAACAGGAGCACAAACCGCGGGGACAAAACAAACAGAAAAAAGAGAGGACATGGACGCAAAGAGAAGAGCAGAGGAAAGAACAATAGAGTTAGAACCATGCAACAACATGTAAAAAGCAACAAAAAAAAGGTAAAAAATAGAAGTAGGGTATTGGAGAAGACAGATTGACCCGCTCAGATGAAGAGGAAGAGGAAGGACAGATGAAGACAAGAGAAAAGCGAGAGGCCCACCCCACTTGTCCTCCTCCACTCAGGATGCTTTCTGAAATCTGCTCACTCACCGGCTGGTGCAAAGAGAGAGAGAGGGAGGGCGGGAGGGAGGGATGGAGTGAAGGAGGGAGGTAGAGGAAGGGGGAGGGAGGATAGAGCAGGTCGGAGTGTGGGGTGAGAGGAAGGTTAGTCAGAGTAGGAGGTGAAAGTGGTGGGTGGGAGAGGATGGAGGTATGAAGAGAGAATGAAGGGGGTGAAGGAAGAGGCTGAGAGCTCACTGTCCCCTCAGTAGCTGTGCTTGGACCGGCTCAGCTGTGTGGCTTCACTGCAGCATTTCACTGCCTTGGCCGTCCCAGAAACAGATCCTCCACTCCCTCCCTCTCTCATCTCACCTCCCTCCTTTTGCCTCCTGTCATCTCTCCTCCGCTCGCTCCTGTCGTACCCCCCACCTTCTCTCTTCCTCCCCCAGTCCACTCTCGCCTCCTTTCCTCCTGTACCCATCCTGTCTTTTTTCTCTCCTTGAACCTCTCTTTCCTTTCAGCCCTAACGTCCTCCTTTCCTCTCATCAGTGTAATGTCCTCTTCTGCTCCGCCTTCTTTCTATACACAGCATCCAAGGTCACCCTGTCCAGAGGCAGGTGTGTGCGTGTGCTCACATGTGACTATGTAACGGTGTGAATATGCAAAGAGGCACGTGTGCATCTGTCACTGCATATCAGTCTCCCTGTCTTCATATACATGAGTTTATTTATGTATTTACCTCCAGTCAAAGTATTTATATCTTGCTCTATTAAGCTTCCGTAGCTTGCCATCTATCACCCCCCCCCACACACACACACACACACACACACATACTTGAATGCCAAGGGTGTGACTGCATGCATGTGTGTATGTGCGAGAGTTGCAGAGGTCAAGCATCCATCATGTCAGTATGGATAGTTAAGGAAAAACCTCCACTATATATATTTTTTTCCCCTATGTATGATTTTGAAATACAGTATGTCATACATCAAAGGTATTTGTCCTTTCTATTAAAACTGAGATGCACAATAAAACACAAATTAACATTATGTTTGCTCATTGAAAAAGCAGTTTAATAACTGTCAGGCTATGAGATAATCACAGAATACGCTACAACCCACAATGTGCCAAAACTCGAGGGAGCAGAAAGTGATGCCAAAACATCTCACATATCTGTGGTGCCAAGTCATCACAGAAATCACAAAAATGTGTTGTGTGATGCCAAGTCATCACAGAAATGTGCAGCCCCAATTTCAAAAGGTAATTAGGTGTTGCCATAAAAAGAAACATTATTGAAGCTCCGTATCAATGGCATTTATACATTTCGTTCTTACATAAAATATAATAGAATGGATTTCTATTGCTCCCGACGAGGTAGTATCACAGGCTCCTGAATCAACCACAGCCACACAAGAAAAAACAACCACAGAAACAGCATAAAAACTCTATACCACAAAGGTATGCACAGATATATGTTTAGTCGCTAGCAAGGAGAGGATTCAAGCTTCTGTACTTGCAGCCAGACAGGCAGGTCAAAGTGACAGTGTAGTGGGTGTACTGAGTCTGAAGTGACTGTGGGGACTGTGTATGATGCATGAATCATTTTCTGTGAAATGTGGATGGACCAAGGATTGGGTTCAATTATGTTCCACAGTACAGTAGATGCTGGTGGGGTTGTACATGGAGAGCTAGCAGATGATAAACAGTCCCCTCTGACATGCCTATGCACTACAGTGCTGATCAAAAGTCAGTTCATCCACAAATGTCCAACAAGGTATTTGAACTCTAATAGATGCTAAAACCCTTTGCTTGCTCGTGTTAAGTTTTACTTGCTTTACTTACTTAGAGCATTGAGTTGTGTTGAGTATAGAGACATTTGCTAAAGGTGTGGGCCTGTGTGGCTCTGATGCTGGTGATGACACAGTTGATGTGTGTTGATGCTCGATGGGTGAGGAAGTCATGAATCCTGTGAAGGTCAGCCTGCACATTAGAGTTGTGGACTTTGGTGATCCTTCACTGCCACTGTGCTGTGTTGAAGGATGAGCTGAGATTTATGAAAGGTGTGGTATGATCGTGTAATGACCTGGTGGCTCCATGTTTTGTAACATGGTGTGAATGATACACTGCCCCTATGGGCCTTTCAGGCAAATTGTAAGGCATGTAAACTAAAACCAGTTTCTTAAGGTGGTTTGTGACAATCTGAATCAAACCACAGAACGCAGATCAAGGTCACTGGTCTTGCAAACTGAGCTGTGGTGCACAGTTTGGTGTACGTCTACTGAGCTTCAGACAAATGTGCTCTAAAAAATAGCAGGTTAAAAACTACAGGAGGTGCTAAGTTAAGTGTTAAGTTGTGTGGAACTACTAACAGCTGGGTGCTAGCAAATTTAGCTACAGACAGAGTTGTTGGTTTGTAGTCCAATGAAATCGTCATCATAACATTTCAAAAACATCTACCAAAAGTCTTGTGCAATGTCAAAATGCATTGAAATTCTATATGTGGTCTTCTGTACAAATTTTGATGTAGGAGAATGTAAAAAAAAAACAAAAAATAGGCCTGTGCTTGTATGGGTACAGTATACTGCATACAAACTGCTTTATGTTATTTCCTAAATAAAACTAATGGAAATAAAAAATTCTGGTGCAACGATGTTCACACATTATGTTTTTTAACAAACTCGGCAGCGTATTAAACAGCTTCACAAAGCTGTCGTGCTTTTATTCAAAGCCACCCCTCCCTAACCCGTTGTCCTACCGAGGGGAAGAGGGGGGAAAGAGAGAGATAAAAACGTGACTCATTTCATAGAAAACTTGTCGGTGCACAAGATCACATCTCACTGAAGCATCACCCTGCCAAATGAGAGGTACGGTCGGAGCATGAAATGGGAGACACATGAAAATGGAGACAAGAGTAGATGATGCAGTTAAGTCAGGGGCATGTGGTATGCGTGAAGCACCCAGCCCCGTATCCGACTCTCCGAGACCCTCTTGAGTAAGGCTGACTCAGCCTTTACTATGCTGGGAGCATATGTGCATGTGCGTGCGTGTGCGTGAATGTGGCAGCAGTTATCAACCCCCCTCCCCCCTCTCTCTCTCTCTCTCTCTCTCTCTCTCTCTCTCTCTCTTCACCTCTACCTCTGCAGTACCTCTCTTGCTCATTCCTCCCTGTGCCGGCTGGGGAGACGCGCGCTCTGCTTTATTGCCCCCGCTGCTGGCTCTCCTCCAGCATCCCTCCGTGCCTCTCGAGTGCTCTCATACCCATCCACCCACCCCCCCAGTCGAGCCCATGTCTCCCCCTCTGGGCTTCTGCTGGCCAGCCTGATTCCCCCGGCTGCTGCCGCTGCTGCTGGAGCTGGAGCAGTGGAGCTGTCTGACGCTACGCCGCTGTACGCCGCCAGCTGCTCTTCTCTGCTCTGCCTCGCTTCTCCTCTTCTCCGCCTTTCGCCTCACGCTCTCCTTTTGGCGGATAATCACCACCCGAGTCCGCAAGAGACAGCGACAAGGGGACAGGAAGGGAGGGGAGAGAAAAGAGAGAGAGAGAGAAAGAGAGAGAGAGACACGGGGGAGCCTACGCTTTTTTTCCATTCAACTGCTGCATTCTTCTAGTTTGTGCCTTGCTGGGCTTTGCTGGAGTGCAGCGCAAGAGGGAACAACTGAAGGAATTTGTCCTCCTCTCTTTGCGCTCCCCTCTGTTCATTTCTGGGACAGAGTGAAGAGGAGGAGAGAAGAGGGAGGGACTGAGAGCGGGACTTCAGAATCAGCTGCACAGCTCAGTGTCCCACCTTGCTCCAGAGAGACATAACACAAACAAGCACACTCACTCAGACACACACACTCACGCACACACACGCGCGCGCGCACACACACGCACACACACACACACACACACACACACACATTTTCATAGATTGGACTCACAGTTCAGGCTGCCCAGACTGGCAGACGGGGAGAGAGGACACATAGGCAGACAACACAACACAGACAGACAGACAGACTTGGTGTCATGGCGTCAGTGGACAGCACCGGTTCGGGTGTCTCTGGTCGGCTGAGATCAGGGGATCTACTTCATGCCGGTTTGGTAGTTGCACTGCTGCTCGGTGAGTTATACTTCTCTCTATACCTTCAGCTGCCCTGTCATTCCTCACTCTTCCACTAAAGCTCTGCATTACATCAGAACATTGTACTTCTGTCCTCTTCAAGACACTTTCATGCCAGCTTACTGTTGGGTAAATCCCCTCTTACTTTCCATACATATAAACTTGTTTATATGCCCTCTACACCTTCCTCTTGCTGGCTTTGTTTCAGTGTTTTCTGTGTTGGTCTGGGTGGGTGGTTTACGGCTGTCACAGAAAATCCATAAATATATTTTTTATTACTCCATACCAACATCTGCTGTTCCGTCTCCTACGCTTCGGCTCTCCTGTCTCATCCTCTACTGTCCACACCTGCAGGCTAAAATGTACAGTGATGTCACAGGTGATGTTTACTTGTTGCCCTGCTGAGGGCATCAAGGTCAGTAACATCCAACCCTTTGGCTGATCTGAACTTGGACGTATTAAATATCTGGCTGCTGAGCTGGATGAGTGACGGACTAAATGTCTCTTCATGCACGTACATAATATGGTGCAATTTTCCAGGGAAAAGGGAATGAAAGGTAAAGAAAGAAAAAACATCTCAGAGTATAGAAAAACATTAGAGCTGTGTGTGTGGTTGTAGTATTACTGGCAGTGACGTAGTGGTGCAGTGGTGATCTGTGCTTTTTCTCACTGCCTGGTTTTGTTGTAGCACCCAGTAGTGCCCCACCATCCCAGCATTCCCTCCTAGATCTCGCTCTTGAAACTCGGCACAGTTCAGTACAGTTGAGTTACAAAACCAGGACCAAGGGTTAAAATTTCATATCAGTGTAATCCTTAAAAGAACAAGGTAATCAGTTAGGGCATTTCATATTATGCTGATGTTTAGGTCCATTCTACAAGATAATGCCTACGTTACAGATCATCAAACACTAAATGCTACATACGGCTGTCACTACATGAGATAATACATTTTTAATTTTTTTTAAGCACAAAACTTTAGTGTTGAACATGTAAAATATGACAAAAGCAAATGAAATTAATTATTTATTATTAATTGGAGAAATAGGTTAAAAGAACAGTTATAGGCCTGTATGTGGCATTTTACTTTTTAAAACACAAATGAAAATAAGCCCCAAGTTGTGTTCTTGGACCTGAATTACTCATCCTCCAAGTATTGCTCATGATTCACATAGAGATGCCACATTATACAAGTCCTCATTATAACAGAACCATAAACAAGACTCAGAAGACAGACTAGTCCACACACCAAATATACTAAAACAGAGATCTGCAATCCAAAAAGGTCCTGGATACGCAAACACACAGTCGCGGTCACTTCAGTCCTAGCATTAAACTACTTTTATGAGCCACAGTCTATGGTGCCATATGTGCATGTATATATATGCGATTATGTAATACCTTTTTGTAGAGAATAAACAACAGAAACCGTAAACAGCTGTGGTGCAACAAGGCAAACAAACACAGAGCATTCGAAGTGCAGCCTTGTAATGTGTCCAATCTGCCCACGCTCATGTTTCAGTTGCTCTGGTGGGATCTGGTCAGGTTAAACCCAACAGTTTATTTAATATAAGGGGTGTTTATATGATAATTGATGGAGGAGCGTCACTAGTCCAGATTTGAAAAGTTACACAAGTGAGACATTTCGCTGCTCTGATTGGTTGTTGCATCCAGTCTGCAACGCTCACGAAACTCAGATCAAATCATCACACCAGGCAGGGCTGATCAAATATGAATCAAGATTCTGTTGCTCTGCCTATTTCCCGCTTCAAAAGTTTTCAGAAACACCTTCCAGTGTAGTGTTTAGCTGCAATTTAAGAAAGTTTGTGAGGTTGACATTTTTTTACTGCTTGAAAACAGACCAAGCACTGCCCCAACTTGCATGTGTCGTTTAGTGCTGCCTCACAGGTTTCGTTGCTCTTCTTGGTTGAAGGTCTATATAGTTTTGCCAGATTGGTCTGCACAAGTTGATTACGCCTCTTGGTAAACAAAAGTGAATTGAGAGGAATGCCAGGTTAATAAAATGGGTATTAACCTAAGAAAATGATCAATCACTGATAACCACTGTAACTAACAACAAGGGCAAATTTCATGAAGCAGGTTATCTGTATTACTTTGCTGAGTACATTACATATTAGTCCATACTCCAGATTTAAGGACTTTCTGGGTTTTCCAAAAATAACTTCTACTGCTAATCTACCAATCCTGCTTCATCAAATAGGCCACAAATTGTACCACACAGGGGTAAGTATAGTGTGGAGTTGGATGCCAGCTGTGTTGCTTCACCCTTGGGGTTAGTTTCTGTTGTAATGAGAAGGTCACCTCCTTTTATTTTGTTCGTAAATGCTACAAGGTCTGGTCAATTCTGATGCAGTTGAGGAAAGATAAGATAGATAAGATTTAATTTCAAAGATAAAATGACCGAATGAAATCAGTAGAATTGCCACCATAAAGTTAAATGTCCTAGCCCTGTATTGTAACATGGTATTTTACATGTTGCAGGCCAAACAAGGGCTTGAAAGTAACAAAAACAATCATCATTTGGTTGTGAATGTTGAAGTTAACAATCCCTGTTGTGCCGACAGGGTTTTAAAAGGACGCACTCCTTTGTAGAGCTCTAGATGGGAACATTTTTATCCAAAAACAACAAGTCCCTTATTGTAACTCAATTACCACCATTCGCTCACTCTCATCATCTCATTTGTCGCCATATTGTCCACATCCATTCCTCCATATTACAGTACTTAATATTTTTGTCTATTTTTCATATATATACATAAATGTTCTGTTTTTGACAGCATGTGTTTGTTTATGTAAACATGCACATTAAATAAATGTTGAAATTGTAGGCCTCCATAGAAAACCACAGCCTTAATTCTATTCCTAGATTCCAATAATCTTTTCCAAAACATTGCAGCAATCTCTCCCAACATACCCTTTCTCAATGGTAAATGAAGCCAGGGAAAACACAAATGAAACAAAGCCCCAACCAAAGCCAGATGTGGCGAAAATAAGCTGAAATTCAGAAGACATTTAATCATTTGCAGGTCCATTAAAGGTCCTGCCTTTCTGATTAACAGTAAACTCTTTATATGTAATCATTTATATTTTTGATACAATAGTCAGAGATATAATATGTGAAACATAACTTACTGTTAGGTCTGTTCTTGGAACTGTATTATTCATCCTCAAAGTATCGCTCATTATTCACATACAGATTCCACATTATACAAGTCCTCATTATAACAGGACCACCAACAAGACTAGTTCACGCACCAAATAAACTTGAATGAGTTCCTAGATATGCAAACAATCACTGTCACTTTAATCCTAGCATTAAACTATTTTCATGGGCCACAGTGTATGGGGCCATATGTGCACATAAGGGATTATGCAATACCTTTTTGTAGAGAATAAACAACAGAAAATGTAAAGAGCTGTGGTCCAACAAGGCAAACAAACGCAAAGAAGCCCAGGTTACAACACCGCAATTAGCAGTAACATTTCATCAGTAGTTAGCATGTAATTGTGACAATTACACAGCATGTTGTTACATGTTTGCTCGGCTATCATATTATATAAGTGTGTATCTGTATGTGTATGTGCAGTGTAAAGATGATCCCACCTTGGCCACTGTTGATTGAGTTACTTAACTGCTGTTGTAATTCTCCATCCTGCTGTCACTCCTTCACCTTGGAAACGACATCTCACTCCCCTCACCTCTCCCTATCCTTCCCCTCGTGACCCCTTCCATCACTTCCTCCACACTGTACCGCCTTTATTGCCCCTGCTCCCCCATCCATCTCTCTCCTCTATTCTCCTCCTCCCTGTGTATTCCCTCCCTTCTCCCTTACCCTTTCCATCACTTCTCTCCCCCCCCCCCCTCTCTCTTTCTCAGAGAGGTAATAGTGTCCTCGGTCAGTTCTCTATGGGTTCACTCGGAAATACATTAACCCTTCAATCTTTGGCCTACTTAAAAAAAAGTCACCTTGACAGTCAGCCAAGGACACACACACACACACACACACACACACACACACCACACATGCATTCCCCCACAGTATCAATATGTCCCACGACAATAGAACAAAAAACAACATCAGCCTCATGTACGCACACACACACACACACAAACACACACAAAACGGACAACAAGCATTGAATGTTACTATAGTATTTGAACCTGTGGGTGTGGAGAGAAGAAAAGGATAGTAGAGAGCAGAGGTGTAACACGAGGGAGGTGTAAAATCTATTTCTAGGCCTTGGGGGTTGGGGGGGGGGACACTCCTCTCAGATACGTAAAACATCATCGTGCTTCCAGTGTGGATAGACACACTGCGTATGCCATTTAGAGGGGAATTTTATTCTCACTTGTTTCGCTTTGCATCATAATTCCCTTTGGAGCACTTAGTTACCAATCTAGCTCAATGGCATTGTGCCAGTAAATGTTGATAGAGAATAACATTTTATTATTATTATTCATTAATCTACTTAACAGTTTAATAGGCACTCAGAGGAGTAAGCCAGCTACAGAAAACATTTAACACCTTAAAGATGTCATTGGCCCTGTTTACAGCTGGCATTAACATGTGTTTTGGGTGATCCTCTCCCAGGACACATTGAGGACGCATTGAGATCTGATCGCTGAGACCTCATTCGGAGGAGGTCTTGGCTGCATATGGCCACATTCTTTCAGCAGTGTGTACATGGACTTGTCCTGGGCCACAGTGAAAGACATCTATTCAACTGACATCCTCTGCATAAGCGGAAGTACATACTCATTCATGCACCAACGGCATTATATTGAAGTGCAAAACAACAAGAAGCAAAATGGATCCTCCCGGATGGTGTACACACCAAACACACTGTCTGCTTTCAGTTTGGGCCAAAGAGTCAGTACAAAAGAACAAAGAAACAGTCTTTGCACATTTCCAGCAAACTGGACAATTTCTGTCTTTATTTGCATATACTGCGGGGAAATGAGATCTGATCACAAGTGAGACACGTGTGGTGATGCATTCTAATTCCAGGTGTGAAGTGACGTACTTAGAGCGGTCACCCAAGACACATGTTAATACCAGGTGAAGACATGGCTATTGATTCCACCGCTGTTCCATACCAAAACAGACACAAACATACACAGACCAGCTCCCCACATCTCTCCTTTTCTTATTTAGTTATAGCGTCCCTGAGGAGCAAGTTCAGAGAGCGACCGAGACAGAAAGATTGAAGTGCCCAGCGCTGCAAAAAAGAAAAAGAGTAGTAAGAGTCCATTAAAAGAGAGCAGAAGCATAAACAGAAAAAGAACAAGGAGAACCCGAATGGCCTGAGTTGCTACTGAAAGTAGAAGAGACGAGTCAAGATGACAACAGAGGAGGGATAAAAATATATCGGTTGTTAGAAGAGAAGAGGAAAGGGCTGAGACTGAGAAGACAAAAGAACAAAAATTTAGAAAAAGAAAAAGTACAACCAAAGCATGGATGCTGATATAATCATGTACTTTTAATGCAACGTTCAGAGATTTAACGCTTCACTGTCATATCAACTTGACAGCTACTAGAAAATTGTTACTATACATTTTTTATTTAGGCTGTGTGTGTTTGTTTTTTACTTGATACTTGACAGACCAGATCTGACCAGATCTGTTCACCACTTTCTGATCATTTCCCTGTTTGAGCTCACAATTCTCAAGTACTGAATTGGCAATAGGGATGGCTGCATTCACATACTTGCATTTACAGTTTTCTGCATATGTGTGTGTGTGTGTGTGTGTGTGTGTGTGTGTGTGTGTGTGTGTGTGTGTGTGTGTGTGTGTGTGTGTTTTGAAACACCCCTGTTATTGTCATAATCTGAGAGAATACTGAAAAAGCACAACAGGGTCTGAGAGCTATCAAGACAGGAAAAACAAAGGAAATGAAAGAAGGGAAAAATAATCTACTCTATGCGGACCTACCATACTTATCATATTTATCATTCTCACCCATTAACTGGTCACAACAATGTTGATTGCACACTAAGCCTTCCACACACTGCAGTAAATTAAATATAATAATGACTGGGTAATTTTTGTTCTCACACTCTGGTTGACACTGTATATTAGACAGAGAAAATCTTAGGTTGAAAAGTGTTTTGAGTGCAATGTGATTTTAGCACCTTTAACACAATATTGATTTTTAGAAATGTTCTTTGGTTAATTCATTGTAGATATTGTCGTTTTATCCCACACTGCCTTGTTATGCCATGACACTGAAAAATATTTTATTTATTATTCTATATATTTTTAACAGTCGCAGTTGGTGCTCCAGTATTTCAGTGCTTTGTTGAATACTGATGTCTCACAGAGCTGCAAAGCAGGTGGTGCCACATTCTTATATAGATGTAAGTCCTTCACAAACACATAGGCATACATGTACTAGGACACTGTTTGCACCATGTCCAAGTGCAATGTGATCCTGAACAGGTCAGTGTAGAGAAGAGTGTTTATAAATAGTCCCCCAAGTGTGTGAGAGACACCAGAGCAACAATCTGAGAATTATACCAGCTGTCCAACATAACCCGCCTGGCAAAACCCAAATACCATTAAGAGATAAACTGTCTCTTTTCAAACTGTTATCGTGTGTTTTCTGCTTTGCACAACGTCACAGGACACCGATAATAGTCTGTAATAAACTGGGTTGACGTTTTTGTTGTGATTTGGGAGCATTTCTGTCTCGCTGTTCATGTTGGTTTGTTCATATGTCAATCACTCGTAGACAGACAGACAGTCCGTTCCCCACCATGGGGGCGGCGGTGGCTCAGGAGGTAGAGCGGGTCGCCCACTGATCAGGTTTTAATCCCAGGCTCCTCCCGCTGCATGTCGGAGCGTTCCTTGAGGAAGATACTGAACCCCCAAATTGTTCCTGATGCTGTGCATGGGTGGATGTATGTGTATGAATGAGTATTGATATTATTATTATAATAATTATGAACAATTATTATTTCTGTTTGTGTTTCTCACTGTATGAATGTGTGTAAAACAAGCAGTGAATGCGGATGTAGTGTAAAGAGAGTGGTCGGAAGACAGGCACTATGCAGTACATTTACCATTTAGGTCTGGTCACCTTGCTTGGTGTGCATACAGTAAATGCACTGATAGAAAGGAATAAAAAGCAGATATAAATAGAGTTTTACAGAGGTGCGAACTCAAGTCACATGACTTGTGACTATCTCACTCTTACAGTCATAAATTAGAAGATGACTTCAGACTTCACAATCAAAAAGGCCTTGCCAGTGACTGGTCTTTACGTTGAGCCATGTGTCTTCAAACAGTATGTCTGTTCAGGTTTTTTACTGTACAGTTCTCAAGTCAAGACCAGCACTACAGTGTGTGTAAATGATGACTTATGATCTATGGAATATTAACAAAGTTTATAAGGGTATTGTATCATATTTACAAAAGGGGACAGGTTATATAATATTTAGCAAATAACACAGCAGTATACATTAAAAAGATTATCTATGAATGAAAAAGAATGTATGAATGTGCAAGAATGGGCACATTTTAAACTATGAATACATTATCCATTAGAGGACAATTACCCATTCAGTTTGCAAGTGCTGTGGAGCTTGATTTATTTTGTCTTGAAAACATCACACATTTTATTTTATGTACAACAGTTTGAGTTTTTCCTGTATCCTTAAATGTTGCAAGGCAAGGCAATCTACAGTATGTATAACTATGAAAAAGGGTTGTAATATTAATATAAACACAACTTCAATAAAGCATTCCTGGTTCAGGTAAAATTTGACTGTGTTGGTGTTGCAAAAATTGCATTCAATTTTAGATTCCATGTCCATTTTTCTTTGTTTTGGCTTTCAAAAGGCTGCAGCATTATATGTCTATTTGGTTTTCATCACTATAAAAAATAAAAGTGGAGTAGTGGAGAAGAAAGCTGTCATTTCATGTGCGGTACTTACAGTAAGTAAGCTACTTAACTTGGTAATGCCATTACTAATCAGCCTAGCATAGCCCAGCGAGCCAGTAATGTGTGTATACCCATTACTTTATCCCTTGTCATTTTTGTCCTAAAAATGGATTTGAGACCGATGTAAAATTTACCCACTGACTGTACTGTATATGTGCTGTACTATGCATTTACTCTCCTTTTCTGTTTTATGTCTGTGGTTTTTATGCTTATCAAGCATAAAAACTGTGCTTTTATTCCCCTTAACCCTTTCCTTTCTCCCTTTGTCCAGGCGTATGGAGTGTTGGTGGACTGGAGGTCTCAACAGGTAAAGTGTCTTCAATTGAAGCAATGAATGGCTCCACAGTCCTGCTGCCCTGCACCTACTCCTCCTGTATTGGCATCAAAAACCTCTTCTTCAGCTGGCGCTATAATGACAATGGAACCATGCTAACGGTACAGCACACATACATACACACACGCAGGAATAAGCAACATGGACATACTGCACCGTACAAACAAACACAAAAATGGCCTTTATTGACCTTTTCCGAGTTGCATGCCTCAGATACATTTTACACATGCTGAAGTAGATCTGCATGCATATGGAATTACATCTGACTACCTATCTCTGTGTATTTAAAGTACATACGTGTGTGTGCGTAGTTATGTCAAGCGGTGATTCCCATTGAGGGCGTGGAGCCCAGGGTCGCTGTGTACCAGGAGCGTGTGGAGTTTGTCGGCTCCTCGAAAAGCAACAACATCTCCATCCTGCTGTGGAACATCACCTTTGAAGATGAGGGAGACTACATCTGTTTCGCCAGGAACCCAAAAGAAAAGAACCGCAACCACAGTGCTGTCTTCACTCTTATAGTCGTGGACCAAAGTATGTGACACACGCACACACTTAGACCTGGCACACAAACACCAAACTTTATTTTGTACCTCATTATAAGTGTTTGTACCTTCAGACAGATAAAAAAAAAAATGGTGGAAGAATGATTAAGTTTCCCGTTGCTAGTGAATCTGACTCCTTCCTTTCTCTGCTTTGCTTAGGTCATCTCTCATAATGTCTTCCCCTCTCTCCCTCTTTTCAGTGAAGGAGGTTGACAACACTTTGACAACCATCATTGTCTCAGTGCTGGGTGGAGTCATTGGCTTAGTTATATTTGTCATGGTGATAAAGGCCTTGGTTGTTCACTTCCTGCTGAAGGACGATGAGAAGAAGTGAGTAGATCATTGACTGTGTTAACTGACATTGAGGACAATTTAAGAAAAGTATATCAATATACTCGATTGTGGACGGTAATAGATACAAGAGTAAACTCAGACATGCATTGTCTGATGTGTTGATTTGATTATGCTTAAACTCACCATGACTGCATTTGATCAAGGAAGTCAGAAATGCAGGTCCGTCAACTTAACTGGGTTACTATGACCCTGAACTGTTGCTGCCCATATTAAACCTACAGTGTGCAACTTTTGTCACCCCCTTCTGGCAGTGAGAGTAATTACACAAACACTGTCAACGCATGCTTATGACGTATGTGAGTTTGCCCCCATGTCGAGGGCTCTCTTCAAAATTTCCTTTGCAAAAAAGGGCGGAGGGGAAAAAACATCAACTTATGGAGTTGTCAGATGAGGTATCTATGCCAGAAATGTAGCCTAATTTCCGAGACAGAAAAGTCCCTTGCTCATGTTTAGATATAGTTACAAAAATCCAGAGAAATTACCAGAGTTCCAAGATAATAATGCATTATTTAGGCATTTAGAGTAAATGTAATACCTACATACTCTAAATATTTGACCATTTTACCCACCTCACTTGTTCACTGTCTTGTTTCGACTGTAATCCTTCCTCTGAGTTTCCATTTTATCTGGAGCATCAGAAACTTGGATGCTTTTACTCTTAGTTTATGTTACCTAGTCCGTCACTATGGTTGCACCCCCCTTCAGCTCTGGCAAGCCAATCATCGCTGGTCGACGTAAAATACATCACTACCGGTGTGCCAGCACGGTAATGTCGCCACGGACACCAGATTTGAAAACTCTGTATACTGTGAAAAAGTTAATCGGCATCGTTTGGCAATGGCTTGAATGTAACAGACGTCCTTTTACATGTAAAAGTCCTGCACTCTAGCTTTAACAGTACATTTCGTACAACTTATCCATAAATGTGATTTGTGGTGCAGAACCAATTGCAAAAATAACAACAGAGACCTCTCTATCTGACAGAAATAGAAAGACAAATCTCTGCTATGTCTTTTCACATCTATCCCAACTGTTGTGTCAGCAGCGAGTTGCAAAGCAGACATCTATTTATGAAATATAATACTACGTACAAAGAGTTGCTAGATGCATTAAGTTGTCAGGTTTTAAAAGAGTTCTTCTGAGCTTTCAATTAACTTATTTGATATAGGTTTCAACCAAATCTTGTGTCGCCTCCCATGTCTCTTTATGGGTGTACATCTTAACCTCTGGCTTCTCTATCCCCTGCAGTAAAGAGTGCCTGGTGAGCTCCTCAGGGAATGACAACACAGAAAATGGACTTTCAGGAGCCAAAGCTGACAACAAAGGGACACCAAAGGCATGAGCGAAATGCAAAGTACGTCTGTATGTTTGTATATATGTTAGACAAATGTACACGCTGAGAGGAAATGCTGTTACCAGTGGACTGTTTTATCTTACTAGTGGCTAACAACATGTAAATGCCTATTTTAAATCATGCTTGAGATTTGGGAAGTGTGGAATGTGCACAGGCCTGGATCACTCTCTCACCTATGGCAGCCCATTTGTTACACAGTGTACAGCCTCTGATCTACATCCCACTGGGACCTAAGACTTCAAGTAAACCATTTACAGTATATATACTTGTAGTTTTTCCAGACCCTTGTTGACATTTTCTCATTCAGGTTACATCTTTAAAGAAATTACACTCCTTGCTTAAATCTGAACTTTCTATAACTACAACTACTAGTAACTATTACATCACTTTAGAGGAAGAACCATGTAAAGCCGTTGTTTTAAATTCTTTATTTATAGACCTCATTTCAATATTCAACTGCCAAAATATGGTCTCAGTCTACAGTTTGGGTTGACAAGCTACAATCTGTTTGATTCTTGGGGCTCTCACAAGTAATCCACAACTCTAAGTCAAACTTGGACCCAAACCTGAGGACAAACCACTTTGATCCCATGATGCATTGCCACAATATATGAACTGCCATAAGAACTGATGAAATGCTACTCTCTAAACCCTCATCTGGCACGGACGCAGATCCACCTGTAAACCCAAACCAGAGGACCATTCTTACAAGAGTTTTGTTTACACATGTAAGTCAATATTTTTCAGCCATAACTGAATTAAGTTATTAAATCTGGAAAAGATTTGAACATTTAAGAATTAAGTATTAATACTAGCACTGATGGGACAGTTTAAATACAGCTTACTCTTTTTGTGAGTAGCTAGCAAACCAACATACGGTTTGCTAGAGGTATTTATTTATTTATTCGTCCTAATATAACCACCAACCTTAACTACTGCCACGCTAGTCTGAAGTTCAGCTTCCATGTTTACTGCTGGGTCCAGGTTTGAAGCGCTGCTGTGGTGCTTCGGTTCACTCATTCTGACGGAAGATTCTGATCAACGACGGTCTCGCTACGGCTGACAACTGGGCTTTTATCTTAGGAGACTGAAGGATCCAGTTCTGCACAGGTTTTTATTGTTTTGCTTTAGATGAAACACAGGTGCCTGTTCTGCTTCTGCTCCCCCTGCTGGTGGGAGAATAAAAACACAGAAAATGTATTAAAAAAAAAAACAACCAACCCTAACCCTCATCAAAGACAATCCCCAGACTACCCAGCTCCCTATAGAAAGGAATGAACTTAATCATGCTGCTTCTGACAAATAACCAATGCATTTTTAGCATGTGCGCATTTTATATAACTTCATATAAGTATACGTTGTCTAGCACTGCAGTACAGGAACATTTCTGTGTGTCTCTGTATGGTCCCATTTAACCCTTCACATCAACCTCAACTGACTGACTGGAGCTCTGTCGATGCTCAATAAGCACCTCCCGACACTTCTAAAACTTTTTTTAACCCCTTTAACCAGGTCAGGGTGATTACAAGGTGGCTTGTTTTCGCGGAAGGGCCTGCAGGTATTTGTGGGAAAGAAAGGGTGGATGACATTTTATCTCTAAATTCGAATCATACAATTGGACAACTCTGCTGGAGAAATTTAAAAAAGTTGGCATATACTGTAAGTGAGGAGCGCAACATAGTGTATGCAATTCTCTGGATACCAATTCACTTCCACATTTTCACACTTGTATGCAGACCCCAACTGGCTACGCCCAATATAAACTTACCGCAAGAAAATACTTTTACACACACATGTATTTAAAATTGTGATGAGACAGTGCAAACACGTCCATTGACACTGGCTCAGTAATACAGGGAGCTAAGCATTGGGACTGATCACTTCAAAAGAATGTAAAGACTCTGTCAGGGAATAGATGTTAAATATAGTCCAAAAAGTATGTTAATGTTATTATCAAATGAATGTGTTAATATTCCAATAGGAAAGTGGTTCACTTTTTCTTTGCCAAGTCTTATTCAGTGTGACTCTACAACAAGCCAATAAGTTCAGTGTTTTGCTCAGTTCAAAGTTCAGACAACTACTTTCTGTGACTGTATCTAAATATTTTGAGCATTTAATATTATAAGAAGTTTGTGTTGGGTTTCTAAATACTACTGCTGTCTTGGCACTAAAAAAAATATAGTTTTTATTAAAAGTACAGAAAAATATGTGTGAAAGGGTTTGAAGGGAGTCGGGAGTTGTTGAGAATAATGAAATGAAATGAAAAAATCTAATATAAAATACAAGTTTAAATGGCAGAACATGTTCAATCTAAACATCTCGTAACATTTTAGGAGTAATCACGTTTTGTTGAAGAAAAAGAAAAAGAGGAACAGTCAACAAAGTCTTTATAATGTCACTTCTACTTCATCTTGTGATAAGTCAGTGTGAGTGAACTTGTGCTAAGATGTCCATTGGAAACTAAAACCCACTCTCTGTGTGACTCACAGTACAAGAGGTCACTTCTGGGACGCCGGAAGACATGACCTGCCACACCCTCATACATAGCTTGAATAGCTATTGACAGCTGAAAGCTACACACAAACACACACCCACACACAAAGAGCCACTTTGATACCAGAGAGTAGTGGCCTTGCATACAAACAATTCAGCACTTTACCACAGTTAAGAGTGGGTGCACAAAACAGAAAAGAAGTGGCTTCAAAGTTATTGTATTCCAAAAACCAAAATTTTCACATTGCGTTTGTTAAGTTTGACTGAAAGCAGCAATGCGTCAAAATGGTTCTAGCATTGTCTGACTACATGTCTCACTGGAACAGAGCTCTGTGGCAAGATTTTATTTTATTTTTCTACTTATTTTCTTTGTCAGCTCTCTAATACTGGAGTGCAATTCCCTTCTTGCTTTCAATGGAAGCAATAAGACAGACATCAGATTATGCAATAACCTGTTATATGGCACTTTACTAATGTGTCTGGACTGGCGGTGGTGGCAACTCTGTCTGTCCAAGGCACTGTTCATTGTACTGATGTGTGTATCTACACTGTACTAATGTATCTCAGTTGGACTAATGGACATTAGATTCATATATCTCCATTAGACAGATTCATCTGCTTTGGAAAACTGTAATAGCTACTAACATTGTAACTGTAACTGTGCAGTGTTAGAAGTGATACAGTGTTCTTGTTGTGTTGTAAAAATGTGAGCGTTATGGATATAAGGAAGCACTACAAACACACACACACACTCTCTCTCACACACACACACACACACACACACATACACTTGCTTCCTTGTCAAACCAGTTGTGTGCAGGTCCCTCTGTAAAGAGGGTTCATATGTACATCCAAAGTCTTCCTGTAGGGAAAAGCAATATTGTGGAGTTGATCTGTCTGTCAGTGTACTTTCTTATCCCATACCTTTAATGCTGACATAGCATAGCAAATCGGTGGTTTCATGTAGGGATTGTGATGCATATATTTGTGGCCACTGTTCCTATTGTTTTCTTCTGTGATCCCTAACTTGATTTTTTTTTTTTTTTTTTGGATAAACCTCCATATCAAAATATATATTCAGCAAGCAAGACACAGGTATGTTAAGAGGATGTACAAGTGATGTTCTGTTTTAATGAAGGCCAGGTATATGTGTGACAGATAAAATAATGCTATCTATTCAGTGCATGGATATAGTCTAGATCTAGTTGTGAAACAGTTGCTTTCATAACCCAATGGAATTGTACTGGATTATGAAAGCACCAAAAGCATTGGCTGTTTTAACTTATCTTTATATGATTTTCTCACATAAGCCCCTTTGTACATTCTGGCCTGCCTTGTCTTTCTCCAAAAAATGTCCGTCCTGAACTGTACATGAGTCTTGAGACCAGAACAACTGCTGGCATGGATTGCTGCAGTACAGAGAATACCCTGTACACAAAATCTTTTCTCCTAGGATGGTGAACTCCAGTCATGAATAGTAAATGAAATGAAATGAAATGTTGTCCATCCAATCACAGCAAACAAACGTTCTTTATATCAAACGATTTAACAACCACACAAGGAAGGTCTAAAATTAGCTACCATACTTAAACCAAAAAGATGCGTGGTTCTTATGTAAGAATAGTTTTGTCAACAATAGTTAATCATCTGTCTGCTTAGCTAGCTTGTTACTTGTAGTTGTAGGCTATGCACACAGTTGTCCAACGAATTGACTTGGGTTTAGTTACCTTCTTTGGTGTATATTGACAAATAATATCATATTTGCTTAGGTGGTATGCTACGCACAAATTTTCATAATTAATTTTAATGAGTGCATCGTGACCAGGCTGTGGGTTATGGGCTACAGCAGCCAGTGCCCACTGTCCACCAGATCTTAATTATCTCCATAACTAAGTACTGCAAATTCATGCAGGCTCAGTGGTCTCCCAGCATGATCAGATATTATTGTATACTACTGTTTCTGGCGTACTCCCATACTTTAAATTAAGTGTTGGTCAACTTAGAACAAAATGCTGAAAACTATGAAAGTACATCCTCAGAGTAGGTCCACTTGACATCAAGAAGATTTGTTCGCTATGATTGGATGAACTTTTCACACGCATTAACTATTCAAGACTCAACTTCGCCATCCTAGGAATAAAATCCTTGTACAGTGTAAGATGGTCCTCTGCAGTGGTGCAATACAGCACAGTAAATACAGTATGACTGCCACCCAGTGGTAAATGCCCAACACATCTAATAATCTTCCCTCTAGTGGAGGCTGATGAATCAACATCAACATGCATTTATTGCAATTTGATTCAGATTGAAATGATAGAATAAAAAAAAACAGTGTCAACTAAACTAAAGCTTAAATTTATAATTTTATGTAACTGATATAATCATTGCTACAATTAGCATAGTTAAAACAGTATATGATTATAAATAGCGTTGAAATTGTTGCTAATTGCTTTCGATAATATGACTAGTTAGATTGTTTGAAAGTATATATAATCTCAATCCCTGTGCACATTGGGCATTTTATCTACATTTAAAAAGGGGTGATGCGCATTTACAAGTTTACACTAAAAGCATACGTGCGACAATTTATACAAAGAGGAATCCTTTATGAAATCGCGTCTACAGTGAGCATTAAATAGTTACAGAAAGTCTCAGTGTTACTGTCACATTATCCACTAAAATAACAAAGTGTTGAGACTCCTGATTGACCACTATGATTCCTTAGAGTTAGTATTGCTCTTACTGCCAGAGCGGCTGAAACTCACACTGCCAATCTCCAAGAGTCTCATGTCTGCTGTTGTTACAACACTACTATAACACACAACTCACTTAGTACACTTACACTACTAAAACATGTTGTATTACCGTCTACCGCTGTATTAATGGCATTTCAGTATTAAATTGTGGATGATATTGCTGTATACTACTTATGTATTTCAAGCAGCTGAAACTCACACTGCCAAGCCAAGAGTCTGACGTCTGCTCTCCGCTTCCCACATTCCACACAGTTAAAAAAGATCAAACCACTGATCTAACGTTGTCGAAGTTCAGCAGAAAAGTTAACTTTACTACAAACTCGGGGGAATGAGAAATGAATTGAGATGAAGTAGGAGCAATATGTTCTTATTTTGGCACAAACACAGTTGCTTTTTTTGTGAAAAATATCAGATGGATATTGTTCATATTGTTGTTAGCAATGCCAAACTATGATGTATATTGCGACCTATTGTGTCAATATTATATTACACGCCTAGCAAACTGCCTCCTCTCTTTGACAGAGATTATCGTATAGACCAAGGCTAGCAAGCTAGAGATTTGAATTATAAGCACAGGCTGACACTGACCTTTCCACATTTTCTCACTGCAGTCCTGCATTTGAAACAATTCCAACAATATGTTTTAAACATCCAGCAGCTGTAAGCGTAATTCTATCTTACTCAAATGAACAAATTCATGTCTACACATTTTACCTTAAGCTATCTGAGACCAGTGACGTTATACAAATTACAGTATTTTATAGTGAAACAAAATGTTGCAGCAAAGTCTTCTGTTTTGCTTCCATTGGCACACTCCATTCAACACACACACACACACACACACAACAAATCTGCAACATGGATCTACTTCCCCTGTGAATGTTCAGCTGTTTGTCTGTGTTTGTGACCATATTGCTCATGCTCCCTTCATGACTATGCACCTCAAACTTTTGACTTGTTTAACTGGAAATAAAATGTTCATTGAAATTCCCAGAGCGCTGTTGAGTCTCATTGTGTCTTTATCCGGTCTTTTGGGAATTCTTCTTCACTTCATCCAAATCAATAGCTGATAAAGCGTGTGATCACTCTATATGTGCTGGATCAGATTTTCTACTTTTTATGTATTTATAACCAGATATAGTGTATACTACTATAAGAATTACGCTACAGAGACTCAGACAAAGAAGAAAAGGGATTGGTTGATGTTGATACTGTAGAGTACTAATCAATATTCCTTCTGGGACAATAAACTAAATATTTTATTAAATTGTTACACCACACATAACAAGCAAGTCTAGACTGGAGTTACCCTGGCACATTAATTGAATGGGTAATAATTCAACGTCAGAATTGAGAACTGCTCCACTATGGTTTGTATTAGCCATTGTATGCACTCACATCACTTACATCAAGTAAGACCAGCACATCAGCATCCGTTCTTTCCAGCTGGGAATACAGCACATGGAAGAAATGCCAAATAACACTTTGTTCTCCATTATATGCAAGTATTAAATGCTAGAGAAGAAACTACAGTGCACAGTGTCTGACCTGTTTGCCTTGGCTGTGTCTTGTTAAAAAACATAATATGATCTGTAACTAAGGAAATTAGGTGAGGTGAAAGGCAATAACAAATCTTGTATTTCTATGATCAAATATTTTAATGTTGCTAAAGCATTGTGTTTTAATGTGAGCATTAGGAAAAAAAAAATGATTACATGTTTTAGCAATGTCTAATCTATTATTTGATGATTTAAGTCAGATAATTCCTGCATTTTAATTCAATGTATCCTCAATTCATTTGTCATATTACATGACAAAGGGCATAAATGTGGATAATGAGATATTTAAAGATTTCATACTCTTGGTCATAATAGACCTCCTTGGGACTACATGTCTTACACTATGCAAGATCTACTGACATTGTATTAATGTTACGTGTAGAAATGGAAAACCTATTGATGTCTTCTCACTGTCGCTGATACCCACTGCAGGGCCTAATGACAGGTCAAAACATTATTTAACATAAATACAGAGCTTCCTTATGATAGATAGATTGTTTGTGAAAGAATGTAATCCTAAATTAAGGACCTATATGGTCCTTAATTTAGGATTACATTTTTGTTGTTATCTTGCTCCACACATCCATCTTGTGGAGGTTTTGTAGAAGTGCATCATTCCCTTCCACAGTTTTAATGATAAAGAGCTGGTTGATATTGCCATGAACAGATATAGGTCTACCACAAACCTGCCTCTGCCTTTACCAAACAGGCAAACTAGGTAACTTCATAGTTTCAATATCTGAATGTTATTGACCAAAAATGATGTTATTAAGAGAAAAATCAAATTTAGCTTGTTCCCGCCCAATGAAGGACCTTCAAGAAAAGTTTAACTCCCATAACTTTTTTCATTCACTCTCTATGGTCATACTTAGCTCTATGGATGTAATGTATCTATGGTCACAAGGAGGACCGCTGTTTCCCTCTTTTGGAAAAAGGCACAGACACCCTGTTTTCACTTTTGAGAGACAGCTAATCATCAGTATCAGCATACAGAATACATTGCAAGGTTGGCATTCTCCTGACAGTCAAACTTATCAAACTTATCATGTTAGGCAAATGTGATGAATCACTACACTATGGGAACAGGCTGCCCTGTTGCTGAGTTACCTGCATTTTTGACATTACCAACCCTAATGTCTATAATACATATTTCGGACTGGTTTTTAATAGATTATCTATTAAATAGAAAAAAGAGAAGTGAAGAGTGCACTTATAGCGTACATTCACACCCCTCCTGTTAATGGTGTTTTAATCCTGGCAAGTTGAAAATAAGCAGCTATTCTTTTATTATTTTGTGTTAAATTACAATGCCTGCCACAATATACACCATATACATCTATTTGCTAGACCTTATCTATCTAGCCAATAGAGCCAATCAAAATCTGTCACAAAACATATGAAGTGAGGATGCAGGGGCTTGAGACGCCACTCAAAGCTGTTTCTTGGAGGAACACAACAACAGCTCACCTTGGCTACTTACTGAATCTAAATGTATTTTCTCACCTGTAAAATCCTATAAAAAACACAACAATCCATGGACCAGAAAACAAGTTTTGTTTAATTTAAAACATTTAATATGATAAATGTACAGTTATTACTGTTTTTGTATTTTTGGTATGAAGCTACTATATAACAAAACATTGACTTGGTTGTCATATTCTTCTTTTCTGCTCAGTGCTCCTGTGATAGTTACATAGTTACAGTGCAAACATGCAAAACAGTCCACAGTTTAGCCACTCATTTCTTCATTATAGTGAAATGCACTAAAACACATTATTTTCTTTACAAATGCAGCCATTTAAAAGAAGCACCCATGCCAGGAAACTATATACTAGGCCTATATAATTTACTTTAGGTCCTTGCTCAATTCCTCCTTATTGAAATACAATTTTAATGGCTCAACTTGCATATTCCTTTTATGTTATGATAGTATTTCACCATTTAAATCTTGTTTGTTTTCTTTTTCTGTTTCTTTTCAACAATATATTTGTTACTTCCTATGAGTAACTAATGGTAAATATACCCTATCTATAAATTGAAAACATCCTCTACTTGAATTTGCACAGCATTATGTTTGTCACTGCACCGATCTTCTATCTATGTGTTGGAAATAAAGTTGCTTTAAAATAAAGGATTCTCCAAGCACTGCGGTCTTCTTTTCCTTATAAATTTTCTTTCTCCTCGAGGTCAAAGAAAAGACACAGGACGTTTTGTTTTTATTTTTGTATTTATTTATTTTTTAGCCCAACCAATCACTAACAAATCCCCTTGTTCCAGAGCACTGACAGTATACATTCAGACTTTTTGATGGAACTATGGATTCATATTGGATAGTTCAATACATTTATATGTTACAAGACTACCATGAAATGCATATTTACTGTACATTTTAATAATGGCACCTCTTTCTTGAGAAACTGGAAACATACACAGGACTAACTTTACCTGCTTGGGTTTATCCATCCAGGGGTCCCCTGGAAACTACACTTCTTAATTCTCCAGGATGAGAGTTGTTAAAAGAAGAGCGGCTAACACATACTGGGATATTCTTTCCCCCAGGATGGCGAAGTCATAACCCGCCCTACTCTGCCTCTGATTGGCTTAACCTGACGTCCTTTACCCTAACCAGTCTCACTACTCATGCCTAAAACCCAGAGCCACTGTATCTGAATGCCCATTATATCTGAATGCCCATTACTGTATATCTTAATAGCTGTGCCTAAACCTAACCAACCAAATCAATTGAGGCAATGAGTATTAGCCAATCAGAGGCAGAGTAGGGCGGGTCTTGACTTCGCCACCCTGAGGGAAAAAATCTAAAGTTGGCGCACGTTTGTGTGTGTTGTTGCTGCGCTTGTCCCTGCTCCGGTTTCTAGCTTGTTGGTAGTCTCACATTTCTACAAAACTGCTGTCACTCTTCTCCTGTGGCTACACTTTCTGAGTAAGGTGAGCTCTGTTGTCGGTTAACCCCTTTTATATGTCAGTTTCCACAGAGAAATATGATTGCTAACGCTTTATTCAAGCTAGCCAGACGGTAGCTGAAGTGAAGCGTCATACTGAAGAAAAAAACGAAAAAAAAACAAACACGCAAAAGTCTCGAGGGGTTGACGTCACTCTCGTTGTTACCATTGACAACGAAGGTGTATTACTATAATTTCTCTTTGTGTGTTGTATTTTATATGTTCGTTTACTGTTATATATATATATATATATATATATATATATATATATATATATATATATATATATGTCTGTAAGTCACGTCTGAATTGTGAACTTTTTTTTGCAATAAAGATGACTTTGAAAGTTAAACAAAAAAAGACAGTGTATTACTATATTACTGTTACACACAACTCAAAACCGGATCACCATCACCCCACAATACAAATATTAATACACTAATGTTGCAAGAATAAAAAAAAAAAAGTTTAAATATAAAAACAATAATGCTAAAAAAAAACATGATACTAACACGATTAATTATTATTCCTGGCGGGGGGGATTCCTTGAATGGATAGGCCTGGCCCCCTAGGACCCCCCTCAGACATTGTATGCTATAGAGACTTGCCATTCACCATTTATTTACCAGTATGTATATGTTATTCTTTACGCTAGGTTAATAGCTAGGCTATTTATGTGTAGGCTATTATTTTGTATGTTTGAAGTTATAAATGTGGGCCCTCTGCCCCATAGTCCAAATTAATTAAACTAACTACCTGATTGACGTGTAACAGATACAGGAGGACATAATGGTGGTTGGTGTGTCTGCTTGTGTAAGTAAGATGTCATTTTGCAGACTGATGAAGCATGGTGTGATGTATGGTGCTCGGTCCTGTCCTACTTTTGTTCTTTCATTTGTTTTGTTCCTGTACGAGTCATGCCATTTTTACATGTTTTAGAAAAAAAAGATGCTTTTTTGTTTTTCTGACAATGTAAACCTTAAGTAACATTTGAAGGATTTGAGTAGTGTTGTGTAACTGTCAACATATTGGCATGCAGTAAACTTTAACTATTGTTTGTTCTTTTAGTAGGAAAAAGCACAGGTGTTTTCCATCTGGCAGTAGGGCAACCACGTGACAACTACCACATTTTTGGTTCGGGTTTTGGTATTGATTTTTTATTTTTTTTTGCCTTGTGCCTGTTGTGCCTGTGTAAAAATATAGCATCACTGGCCTCTGGAGACAATGGTGCTCTACGCTGGATTCCCTCCTGTGGACACTTCCATTCCTCTGTTGTGTTGTTGGTTTCTACAAATATGTAAGTAAGATCTATTTCGTAAAAGATTGTGTAGGGATTCCTTTCAAAGGAGGTTCTATTCTGGTCAATGTTGTGAAAATAACAATTTTCCACAACCAAAGTTAACTTCTTTAAAATTACTTTTTTTGTCCGACCAACAGTCTAAAACCCATAAACATTTGATGATAGAAAACAGAC